ATAAATATAAAAAAATAAAATATAAAATTTGTAGGAACCGCGTAATCCAACCACTATAGATTGCATGTTTCCCTGACTTGCTCAATTCCTAGATAGAACTTGATAAGTCCATTGAAACCAAACTGATTCTCAATTCCGACAAGGAATTGGGTCCGGTTTGGATCGGCGATTCTTAATCCAGATTGTCGATTTTTAAATCAGTACGTAATAATATTGAATTTCTTTGACTAGCAACTAATTAGGGGGATTTTTTTGCTAAAAGGTTATACTCTTTTCCTGGTAGCCGTCACATTTTTTAGTTGAGACTTAAAAAACAAAAAAAGAGAAGAGAGAGAGAGAGAAAAAACTCACAAGTAACCATTTTAGTGACAACTAATGCTGATAAAACAAATTTATTGGGATTTATGAGGAGGAAATCAAGGGTGGATCACAATAAAATGAATTCATCATTGTAATTATGGAAAAAAGTTTATATGGTTGCAACCTTAAAATGTTGAATTAAGGTGCACCTCATAAATCCATTATAAAAGAATGTTTTGTTGTAAAACCCTCTAATTGATCACCTTGATATCGAGATGTATGAATATGAAAAGAAAAAAAGATTTTGAGTCCTAAAATATTGTATCTTGCAACATATTTTTAGGGGCGCCCATTTTCAAGATTTTCAAGTGTTTATATATCTACTTGATTTGAATCATATTTGGAGTTAAAAATTTTATAATTACAGTTAAAAATAGATTCTCAAACCATCCTAAGAATTTTTTACACTAAAATTATATCTACGATAAAATTTGGAGGTGCACCTTAAGTTGGTTCACCCTTATATTGTAGGACTTGCCTCGATAAAAAATCTAATATGATACTTATATATAAGCATTTAGAAAATTAAATTTTGGAAAAATTCAACTAGTGTGATAACCTTTTCAAATCACAAGTTATAAGCTACCAAATCCTATCCTGTTATTTTTGAAGGCAAAACTTCATAAATACCTTAAGAATCTTAAAAATTGCTTAAAAATTTGAGAAAATTGTATAAAACTCCCAAAACGAACTTTCTAATCAATTTACCTACACCTAACTTTTTTTTTTAGTAACTTCTCTCCTAACCATGTGTCCTAGCAAATACCCCCATTACAAAAAGTTCATTTTTTTTTTACTAGAATATCCTTATCGTATATAAGAAATAATTTTTGAATCCCAATCAAAGGAAGCCCCGGACCGTACTTGTACAACACCGGACTGCTCATTTCAAAGCGACGGACCGTCACTTTAAAATGCCTGGACTGCCCCTTCAAAATGCCTTACCGTCACGTCAAAACATCAGACTGCCCCTTCAAAAAGCCGAGCCACTTTTTCAAAACGCCGGACTGCCCATTTCTCCAATAGCATAATCCCCGGACCACCACAATGAAACGTTGGACCGCCCATTCTAGCAAAATAATCACCGAACCGTCATCTCCAGCGAAATGATTTATTAGGTAAGGGAAGGGTATTTTTGTGAAGAGAAATGAACTTTTTGTATTTTAGGGTATTTGCTAGGAAACATGGTTATTTGGGAGAAGTTGCTAAGAAAAGTTAGGTTGGAGTAAATTGATTAAAAAGTCTATTTTGGGGGGGTTTTATACAATTTTCCTTAAAGTTTTTAATTCTTAAAAGTAAATAGATGCCTAAGATGTACTTTGAAAAATCTATCATCTCAATCTGATATTTAGAGATCTAATAAAATGATATCACAAAAATCTACAGGTGCCCAAGCTTTAATAAGGAATTTATAATCCAAAAATTATAATTTATTATATTAAATTTCCCATAAAATATTAGTAAATTCCATGCAAAAAAGATGAAATAGAAAACAAAATATTGTAGTAAATATGACGAGAATGGCTTGAGGCTTTGATTATAATATTGTTAAGCCCCATGATAAAATATTTGACTCCATTCTCACTAAAAAGTAGAAGATCAATTTCCCATTTATTACTTTTAATGAGAATGACCTAGGACCTTGATGGTGGTATTATTGAATCCTATATAAATCTCTTACTTTATTCTCATTAAAGAGTAAGGACCCAAATCCCACCGACGTACCACTTTTTGAAAAAAAAAAAACTTTCACCGTCGTTCCATTTACCCACAAAAAAAGATTGTAGTAAAATTTCTCAAATAATAATATCACAATCACGATCATTTTTCACTAAGGTAGCAATCGCCGTCACATCCCTGTGATGCATAATGTCGTACGATGCACATGCCACAAAACGACTGAATAATAAAATGAATGGTCGAAAAGCAAGACGCAGCAGCAGCACTGACCACTAGTGAATTGCAAGGGTGGAGATGACGAGGACTACCCTTATCCTAATTTTTTTACCGGATTGTATTATTTGAAATTATTTATTTTTGTATAAAGAGATCATAATTATTTTTAATTATTTGATATGAAATCTGCTAATCGATAACATTCAAGATATTGTATTTTAGATTAGGAAAAAGTTTATATAAAGTTGTAATCTTAAAATGTAGAATTAAAGATGTACCTCAAAAAAACTATCAAAAAATAATATTTTAATATTGAAAATCCCTATAATTAATCATCTCAATCTCGAGATATATGAATGTAAAAAAAAAATAGATTTTGAATCTTAAAATTAGTGCATATTGCGACACATTATCTAAACTAGATATAAAAATAGAATTTCATATAATCTTAAAAATGTTTTACACTAAAGTTATATGTTATAATAAATTTGGAAGGTGCTCCATAATTGGATTGTTTAAAGTTTCAACCTTATAAAAACCACACCTTTTAGATTATGTAGCCACTCAACGATGCATCTCCAATCACTTGATTTCATATCTAACAGTTAATAATAATTTTGGCCTTCCTATAACAAAAATATATACTAAAGTTATTATTATGTGTAACATAACATTTAAGATATTTTATTATAGGAAAAGTTTATATAAGGTTGTAACCTTAAAATGTAGAGCTACATATGCACCTCAAAATTAATTAGTAAATGTTGTTTCAACATTGAAAAACCCTCTAATTGATCATCTAGACATCGAGATGTATGATTTTGAGAAAAAAAAATGATTTTAGAGTCTTAAAAATAATGCATTTGACAACACATTATATAGACTATCCACTTTCAAAATTTTTATATGTTTATAGATTTACTTGACTTTAATCACTTCTATAATTAAATTTGAAAATAAATTTTGAGATAATCTCAAGAGTATTTTACATCAAAATTATACGATAAATTTTGAAGGTGTGCCTCAAATGGATCGTTTAAGATGGCAACCAATAGAAACTTCACCTTTTTTTTTATGGATTATGTGCCCGTACAATAATTTGACTCTAATTACTTTATTTCATATCTAACAATCAATAATGATTTTGACTTTTTTTTTTTTTTTGTTACAAAACATATGGAATCTTATTTTATACATTACGTGTGACACAACATATGAAATTTTTTATTTTTTATTTTGTATCTACATTTTCAATCACTAGAATTCTTATCTAGCTATCAATGTGACTGTGACCTTCCATATCAAAAAGATATGTGTAAAAAATATGTAGTCGTGTTCCATACATTACACGTGACGTAACATCCAAGTTATCTTATTGTAGGTAACGTACCCACTCAATAATACATCTCCAATAACCTTATTTTACATCTAGCATCTCGTACCAAAAAAAATGCGGTCTTATTGTATACATGCCTATATTTTATTGATAATAAAGTGAGCGCATATGCTGCGTTCGAGCGGGAGCATTGTGTGCATCTACTCCCTCGATCAACACACCTCAATTGATTGTTTTTTTTATAGTCTAAAATTTTGAAAACCATATAAAAATTACTAGATGATTATTAAAAAATAATAATTTGGATTTTGTGATATTTAGATTCAAGCCTTCAAATTTTGGATGATCTCTTTCCTATCTTGATATATAAGTTTTTTTTTTTTTAGTATACAGAGAGTTTATTTCAATTTTTTTTGTTATGAGATTATTATTCTATAGGTTGTAAAAATAACAACCACTATAGGTGGTAAAAATAACAACCCCAAATTTTGAGATGTAAAAAAGATCCCTAGCACGTATATTGCCTGAGAGAATAAATGGATACTATACTCCCAAGAGTAGAAAATCTTTTAGGTAATTGGGTTATGGACACGGTTTTGGTGAGTCTAGGCCAACTCACCTAGTACTGTGTGGTCCCTCGTCTAAAGTCCATCTCTAAGATGAATGTCTTTGACATAAAATTGAGGTGAAGAAAAGAATTCAAAAAATAACATTTACATATTTTTTTAAAAAATTCAAATCTGGAATATGATAGTTTTAAGATCATCAAACCCAAAAAGTTTGGATAAAAATTATATCTTTGAGGTAAATTTTCTAATGGTCGTGCACGAAAACAGGGTGAGTGAGCCCACTCACCAAGGGCAAAACCGTCCAACTTATCCTAATGGACAATTGAAGCATTTTTAAAAAGGTGTGGTTTCCATAAGGTTGCAACCTTAAACACTCCAATTAAAGCGCACTTTCAAATTTTATCGTAACATATAATTTTGATGTAAAATATTCTTAAGATTATCTCAAAATTTATTTTCATATCTAATTATAAAGTTTTAAACTCTAAAAATAGTTAAAATCAAATAGATCTATAAACATATAAAAATCTTGAAAATGGATGGTCTAGATAATGTATTATAAGGTAAACTATTTCTGAGACTTAAAATCTTTTTTTTTTTTCATAATCATATATCTCGATGTCAAGTTGATCAATTAGATAATTTTTCAATATTAAAACAACTTTTTTCGATGGATTTTTGAGGTGCATCAGCGGTTCTATATTTTAAGGTTGCAACCTTTTGCGAACTTTTTCCTTTCTAAAAAACAGCCGATGCACCTACCGTCTAGAAACATCCAAAATTGAGGGTCAATTAAATGTGATTTAGACGTCACACAGTTGAGTTTTATAAATAGCGACCGAACGCGATGCCCACTCGTTCTGCTTTCCTCGATCGAATCAACATTTTGAGAAGATTTCGTTCCGTTTCGGCTTTCCATTCTGTTTAGAGTCTCCAAACGAGTCCGAGTCAGCGCGCAATCGTGTCTGAGTCAGGGCCTCAATTCTCAGAAGGAAAAAGCGAAGAACAAACACGTTGTTTCTTCATCAATGGAGGCCCCTAAATCGAAATTCCAGACCGTGTCTTCCTACGATTGCCTGCTTTTTGGTAACCTTCTTCTTCGAATTTTCTTCGTATCCCTGATTGGGCTTTTCTAAGGAATTACGAGCATTTGGATCACGTTTTTTGTGAAATTTTGCAGATCTTGATGATACTCTTTATTCTCCAGCTTTGGGAATTGCCGAGGATTGCAGGAAAAATATTGATGGTGAAAATATCATGTTTCAATTTTAATTGCTTTTCATAGGGATTGCAGAGAGAGATTTTACGAAAATATCAGTATTAGATCAAGAGATCATTTGTCTGATTTTAAATTTTATTTATTTTTCGGTTTTGCAGAGTTCCTTATGAAGAAATGTGGATTAGTGAGAGAGAAAGCGACAAAGCTTAGAGCTGAACTTTTCCTTACTTATGGAAGTTCACTTGCAGGCCTTAGAGTGAGCATTTTACACTCTGAGACTCATACACACATATTCATTAATTGATAATTTCCTTGGAATTTATTTATTTATTTTTTGCTTTTTTTTCTTTAATTTTTTGGTAGACATTGGGTTATGATGTGGATGCTGACGACTATCACAGGTAATTTTCTCTCTCTTTTTTATATATCATTTAATTAATTTAAAATTACATAATTTTTTGGGCATGCTTTCAAAGTCCAGAGGAGAAAATGGAAGTTTTGTTTAATTGAAAAGAAAGTAAAACAAAAAATTAACATTCAAAAGAATTTAAGAAAAATTCACTCCCTTCCTGTTTTAACTAAACTTTGGCAATTGCCACTGCTGTTCCCTAATGAAAATATTTTGTATCAAAATAAATAAAGCCTCACCTCTAAGTTTATGGAAAATTGCACTTCTGGTATTGAAAAACCCTTAAATCAATCATTTCAACTTTAATCATGATCGTTGTGAAAAAAGAATAAGAAGGGGAGTATATATTATAGAAGCTTCGGAAGATCAAACGTTAGAAGAGAAAAATTTAGAGAAAGAAACACACGGAAGGGCTTAATCCAATCAACCAAAGGCTTAATCCAATCAACCAATAAAGAGAAATACAAGTTCTCTACTTTAACAAGATTTTCTTAAAAGTAAAAAGTTTGTATAAGGCTGAGGCCCTACATGATCAAAGTAAGGCGTACCCTTAATAGTGTCGACATATATTTTGTTAGTATTAGCAACCTTTTTGATGTGCTGAAAGTTCATTTTCATCTTTATTTATTAAATTTAAAGATTAAAAAATGTGGTGCGGTTTGTATAGAGCCTAGGCTCTAAACAATCAAATTAGAGCCTACCTTCAAAAAGTGTGGAGAAATGTGGTTTCAATATTGGAAATTTTTGTCATAGCCTTAAAATATATTTTTATATTTATTTATAAGGTTTAAAGCTTAAAAAATAGTGTAGAATAGCCTTAAAATATATTTTTATATTTATTTATAAGGTTTAAAGCTTAAAAAATAGTGTAGATTGATAGATCTATGAAAACATGAAAATCTTGAAAATTGATGGTCCAAAAATGCATTACAAAATACACTATTTCCAAAACTTAAAATCCATTTTTTTTCTCCTGTCTATACATCTTGATGTTGAGATGATCGATTTGAAGATATTTGGGCATCAAAACAACCTGTTATAGGGAAATTTTTGAGGTAGGCTCAAATTTGATTGTTTAGAGCCTTGGGTCATATAAACTTTTTGTGTAGGTCAACCAAATCTATGAACGTTTAAAAATCTTGAAAATTTACGGCCTAGATAAGATCACTATTTTTAAGACTTCAAATCTATTTTTTCTCACCTCCATACATCTCGAGGTCTTGATCAAATTAAGGGTTTTTCAACATCGAAACAACTTCTTCTAGAGAATTTTTGAAGTATGCTTTAATTTGATATTTTAGGGCCTCACTAAACTTATTCCTTTTCTTAAAAGTTAAATATTTTTTAAGGACAAAATATATATAAGGTTGCAACCTTAAATATAGAATTACAATGCACCTCAAAAATCCTTCCGAAAAGGTTGTTTTAATATTGAAAAACTCTGTAATTGATCATCTCGACATCCAGATGTATCAAAGTAAAAAAACATAAGATTTTGAGTTTCAAAAATAGTGCATCTTGCAACACATTATCTAGATCGTATATTTTCAGGATTTTTATATATTTATAGATCTATTTAATTTTAACTATTTTTAAAATTTAAAATTTTATAATTCGATATAAAAATAGATGTTCAGATAATCCTAAGAAGTTTTTATGCAAAAATTAAATGTGTGCCTTAATTGGATTGTTTAAGGATACAACCTAAACCAAACCCTTTTTTTAATTTGTTTTAAAAGCAATATTGCGAGTATTGCTGACAGGGTTTTTGAGTGGCAGTAACGTGCACGGTCCATTACCTTACCAAGTCATCAAACCTGATCCGAAACTAAGGGCGGTCCTACAAAGCATCACGCAAAGAAAGCTGGTAATCTAATATCAAAAAAATCCTCTCTCTCTCCCCCCCCCTCTCTCTCTCTCTCTTATATAAGCATGCATGGTCCTAGAGGACCAATCTTTTGATGATAATGTTTTCAAATAAATAACAATGAAGGAACCCACTTCTATAACCTTTAAATGGAGTAGTGCCGTTATAGAATGACTTAAAATAATTTTCTTGCATACATGTTTACAATATTTATTTCTTTTATCAGTGTCATCGTGCAAATTCAAACAAAAGGAACCTGTCTCTTGGTGATGTAAATTATTTTGATCACAAGTACTTTTATTTATGAATGGTTGACGTTTGTATATGTGTCCACTTATACTGTACAAGGCGCATTTTAAAATTTTGCTGCAATAGTTTTGGTATCGATAACGGATAAAAATATAGGTTCGACCTTAATCGTAAAATTTTAAAATCTAAAAACAGTGCGGATCGAGCAAAATCTATAAAAATCTTGAAAATAGACCGTCTAGATAATTTGTTACAAGATGTACTAATTTTAGAACTTTGAATTTTTTTTTTTTTTTTGAAAAATTGTTTCATGCGGGCTGGACCACAATATACGATCCCAAGGTGTAAAGCATTCATCTTAAAGATAGATGCGAATAGGTGGTCATCTAAAATTAATCGAAACTAACGATCCAAATATTTTCTTAATATTTTTTTTTCAAATTTATTTATTTATTCATATTCATGATCTCCATGTTAAGGATTACATGTTTTTAAATATTAAGTCCAAAAATCCATCTCAAAAATAGATTTTTAAGAAGTGACTCAATTCTACATGGACTCATAGAAACCGTGTCATTTTTTATATCCATAAATCTCAAAGTTGAGATGATCAATTAGAAAGTTTTCCAACTTCCAAACATTCATTTCTACTAGATTTTTTAGGTTCATCTTACTTTTACAGTGTAAAGTTACAACATTATATAAACTTTTTCCTTTATGAATCCAAAGAAATTCAATGCCCATAAAACTTCATTATCTGTGTCAGGTGTTTACAAATTCGGATAGGGCGCATGCCATGAAGGTTCTAATGAGGCTGAATTTGGAAGATTGCTTTGAGCAAATCATATGCTTTGAGTCTCTTAATCCCCATATTTCCATGTCTAGAGAGGTCCCTGTGGTTCTAAAGCCATCCAAGGAAGCAATGCAAATTGCCATCAAATTAGCACAGGCAGATCCACACAAAACTGTAAGTCCCCTATTTCCTTTAGAAAAAGCTTTTGGTAATTACTACTTGAACAAACTAACAAAATCCATCCGTATAGGAAGTAAATAGTTTACACAAATACCCTGATTAGAGGTCACAAATTCTACAAGCAAAGAAATAAGCTGGGGATTGTATACAATGAGAGCACTTACCTTTGATACAAGGAGGTCACAATTACTTACAATCATTAGATGTCAAATCTGATAGTTTGGAGGTGTCACAAAATTCAAAAAAATTAATTGTAACCATCTTGTACCAAAGATAAATAGTTTGATTGTGTATTTTTCTACTAGGCAGTACAATATGTATGCTTGATAAGAAAAACTTCAAATAGTAGGGAGGCATGCAAAGCATTTCACATAGCGCTTTGAAATACTTTTAAGAGTTTTCAATTTGAATGCAGCGTTAATATATTTAGTTTGTTTAATTTTTAAGTCATTAATTTTCATACAATTTTTAAATTCTCATTTTTATTTTTATCAATATTGTTTAATTTTATTTTGTAATTTCAATCATATATATATATATATATATATATACGTCGATTTGGTAGTGGAAACAAGTTTTGTACGTTTCCAAAAAGAAAGAAAAAATGAATGAATGAATAAATAAATAAACAACTACGTAAAAATTTCTTATTGTATATAATTGTTTTCTTATTATTTTTGAGTTTCTAATTGTTTTTCCTCCCATTTTCTATTTCTTCTTCATCGTTTATTTTTAGTGAAAAGCAAAATCAATTAATAGAATAAGACAAATTTAGATAGACTTTAGTTTTTTTTTTTCTTGGTTAATTGTGATTAGATTAAGATAAACAATGAGAGGCCTATCACCAAGACTATCTAACATAATAATGTTAATCTATTTGGTTACAGAGGGCTATGTGTTTTGGTTGGGAAAGGGAAGCGCCTTGGCTCCTCATCTGAGTTAGCGGAAGTCTTCGATGGTATTTTTTTAAATAAAGATTACAATATTTTAAAAAAATATAAGTAAAAATATATCTGTACATAAAGAGCCTATTTGAACGACAATTACTTTTGTCTAGAATAAACTATCTTATCTGAAATTAATATATTAGGAATAATATTATTTTGTTGTTTGGTTGGTATTTATGTCGTAGGATGCATATAGAATGGGGTCGGGGTCGTGGTGGTAGCACCATTTGTGTCTCAACTAAGGCCTTCCATTCTCCCTTAACGCATTAAAAAACTACGAACGATTTCAAAAAACGGGTAGAGGCTCGTCATCCTCATTGAATTACCAATATATATATATATATATATATGAAAAAAGCTGGGATTAGCCCACTAGCTCACATGAACTTATGAGCCCAACGGCCCAGATTGAATCTAGGCCGATTTGATGATCACAGATGTCCGGTAGTGATTAAATTTTATTGTTTTTCTACAGGTCCAAATCACTGAAAATTTTAAGTGTGTGTTCTTCTCATCAAGGCACACAGAATAAAAATATAAAAAAATTTATTCATGAAAAATAAAATGGCCAAAATACCCACTGAAACTTTTTTGGGGTATTTTGGTCAATTTATTTCATGTAAAATATTTTTTGATATTATTTTAGAGTATTTACTATT